TCACATGAAATTTTCTTCTCGCTTGACACGTGATAGTTCTATAATTTGTATCAAATTATATATTACATAAATATATTTAAAAAATGTATTTCTGGTAAAACTTATTTTTTTTTTCCCACGTTTTCTTTAACTTGCTTTCTCTGTGTGTTTATTTATTTATTTGTTTGTCTTTCCAATCCAATCTTGGGATCGAAATTTCTGGCACTTCCCAGTTAGCTAGCGCGCTGAAATTTTCAGGGAAGCTTTCTTTTGGATGACCATTGAATATTCAATTGTTATTATTACTAAATTGATCAATGGAAACATTTTATTGAGCATTTTAGACCGCTATATAATCTATATATATAATTCTCCTCTGCTAGCCATTACAAAAAAAACCAGCGACGCGTACCTCGCGCGCAGTGAAGCGAACGATCACATGTCGCCACAGGCTTAGGGGCAGAGAATTTAGCTTGAACCGAGTTTAAACTTACAGGAGGTAGGCCAGTTTGGGGGAGACGATATGGTCGAGTGGTTGGGCACACGATTGCTATCCAACTCGACACGGGTTCAAATCTATGTGTTCTAGTCAGTAACGTATTCAAACAACGTGTTTTTTACGAGTTGTCTTTTTACGAGTTGTCTTTTTACGAGTTGTCTTTTTACGAGTTGTCTTTTTACGAGTTGTCTTCGTTTACCCAAAAAAAGTGAAAAGATAAAATCGATAGCAAGATTTTAATGGAAACAAACAGACAAAGACTAAAAAGTAGAAAATAATAATCATTAAAAAAGTTTTAAAAAACCCACGTTTTCTGATTGAACTAAAAAGTAGAAAATAAATGCTATAGGCCCTACATCACAATAATGCAAGCGATCACTCTACTATAAGCGAGCAAAAACGTGGGGCGCCGTGATTTTCTTACAGTTTCTAATACTGTTGACTCTCTACAAGCTCCCTAATAAAAGTCAATAGTATTATCTAATCAATAGTAATATTACTTCTACTTCGGCGCCCCACGTTTTTGATCGCTTATAGTAGAGTGATCGCTTGCATTATTGTGATGTAGGGCCTATAGCATTTATTTTCTACTTTTTAGTTCAATCAGAAAACGTGGGTTTTTTAAAACTTTTTTAATGATTATTATTATCCAATACATTGACATAAGAGGTGGGTGATGTAGGCTAAACAATTTGTTAAGATTGTGCGAACATAAATAATTTATTCATGTATGAAAAAAAACATTTCTCCATTTAAACTTCAAAAACCATTTTTACTTTCTCGTATACAGAGTATAGAGGAAGTTTTGTAATCGTGCACAAAAATCACATGAAATTTTGACAGTTTTCACCGTTTTACACCTCAGTATTTCATCACATACGGAGTATGCTATAGAGGACTTATTTTAATCGGACAAAATTATAAATCCAGATTTATCAAAATGTTAGCGTTTTATGCGTAATCGAGTCGGAAAAACTAGACTTTGCAAATTTGTCCGTTTGTCGTGTGTGTGTGTGTGTGTTTGTGTGTGTGCGTGCGTGCGTGAGTGCGTGCGTGCGTGCGTGTGTGTGTTTGTCTCTGTAAACACGATAACTTGAGTACCGTTACAACTAGGTTTATGAAATTTTAAATATAAGTATTATATAAAATTTGTAGTTTTGTATCAACTTTTCAGCGATTTCCGATAAACAAAAGAGGGACTTATTCTACTTTTAGTTTTTCAAAAGCCTATAACTTGAGTACTGTTTCAGATAGATAAAACGAAATATCATATATTACTAAAAGGTCTAATTTTCTGCCTTCTGTCAAATATTTTTAGTAATTTCCGTTGACCTAAGTAGTAATTTACGCTATTTCCGATTCCTCAAAAAAACGCATGTGAATTTATAAAGTACTGATTAGTTCCGAGTTGCCATCTCGCGTAGTGTTATATTAGAATATTCGAGAAAGTTAAGAGGAGATTACTAACGGGTTAATTTTTTAATTGACATTCTGAGTTGACGCCAAGTTTAGAAATTTACATGAATGATTGAAAGATATTTTTAGTGCTGTGATTGACTGTAATTTTGTATGTAAATAAAGAAATTGAGATTCAATTTTATTTTGTGGATAAAATGTGCACATTGTTCACGTCGATGTTTTGGGTGTTAGATACCAGTGTTATGGTATAACAAAGTTTTTTTTAGAATCCAAGACTTGTTAAACCACTAACAAGGCAATTTCTGATGACATTATATCACGTCAATTTTTCTAACCCATTTCCACATAACGTCCGATTGTCTAACCAATTTCCGAACATCAAGACCAATTTTTTTAAATTAATTCCCTACATAAGTCCGATTTTATAACAAATTATCCTAAATCGAGTCTAATTTTATAATTTTATTTTTGTAACTCAATTTATTATATCAAATCCAATTTCTATCCACTTTCCTAAACGAATTTTACTATTTAAACAGCTTTTCCCCATGAAATCAAATTTTCTAGCTACTTTTTCTAAATCAATTCCAATCTCTAAACTACATTCCCTACATCAATTCCAATATTACATATATATTTTTTCTGCATAACATCCAATCTTTAAACTATATTTCCTACATCAATTCCAATTTTTTACCATATTTCTAACATCAAATTCAATATCTTAGCCACATTTTCCAACACTAAGTCCGCTTTACATTTTCAAATATTAAGACCAATTTTTTAACCACATTTTCCAATATTAAGTCCAATTTTTAACCACATTTTCCAACATTAAGTCCAATTTCTTAACCACATTTTCCAACATTAAGTCCAATTTTTTAACCACATTTTCCAACATTAAGTCCAATTTTCCAACAGTCCAATCTTTAAACCCTTTGCACTAGAAAAGTTCCCCCCCCCCCTGCCACCAAATAGTCTCCCCTCTCTACAGTTTCTCCCTGTGTTTATTTTGGCCATCACGTGACACAAATACCCAATCACAACTCGTCGCCAACCGCAGGTACTCATGTCACCCGATGTCACCGCCATGTTGTCAGGCGTCTGACATCAACTGTCAGATCAACATTGGCATCACGTCACGACCTGACCTTGTCATGACCTTGAAAGACCTGGTCACAGAGTTAAGACCAAATGGCGTCTTGAGATTACGTCAGCGCCGCGTCCTGAAAACATCACCAGCTTGTAAACAGCTCTAATCCTCTAAAACACTTGGCATTCTGTTTAACTTGACATTTTTACCCAACAAATTCCACTTGTTGAGCAAGCAATTTTTTACTACAAGGAAATAGTTTTATTTTTATTTACAGTACCACAAGGAGAAAGTGGGAATAGTTGGACCATTCAAAACACGAATTATGGAGATGGTTATTTACTTGTAGGCTTCCACAGAGTGAATTACTTCGTTTGAGTATTACATTGAAGTAAGCCTAAATACTTCTGAAAGAATGCCAAGAATTTATATTTGTATAAAAGACTTTTGATTTCAGTTAGTCTATAAACTTTTGTAATAAACACTTACTCGTATATTTTTTGCTACAGTTTTTTTAAACACAGTTTTGTTTATGTCGATGTAGTCGAGTTATAGAGCGCTCGATTAATAGCCTCGAATTTCCGGGTTTGATTCATGGATAAATACATGTCTTTTCACCTAATAGATACCCGATTTATGTAAGGTACAGAACTGATCACACTGTCAATATCTGTGCCTAATGGAAGTCTACTTTTTAGTGCCATACAACACAAGCTTCTTTAACACTCGCCGATGTCCTGACCCTTGTCTTTAACACTCGCCGATGTTCTGACCCTTGCCTTTAACACTCGCCAATGTTCTGACCCTTGCCTTTAACACTCGCCAATGACCTGACCCTAGCCTTTAACACTCGCCAATGTTCTGACCCTTGCCTTTAACACTCGCCAATGTTCTGACCCTTGCCTTTAACACTCGCCAATGTTCTGACCCTTGCCTTTAACACTCGCCAATGTTCTGACCCTTGTCTTTAACACTCGCCAATGTTCTGACCCTAGCCTTTAACACTCGCCGATGTTCTGACCCTTGCCTTTAACACTCGCCAATGTTCTGACCCTTGCCTTTAACACTCGCCAATGTTCTGACCCTTGCCTTTAACACTCGCCAATGTTCTGACCCTAGCCTTTAACACTCGCCAATGTTCTGACCCTTGCCTTTAACACTCGCCAATGTTCTGACCCTTGCCTTTAACACTCGCCAATGTTCTGACCCTTGCCTTTAACACTCGCCAATGTTCTGACCCTTGTCTTTAACACTCGCCAATGTTCTGACCCTAGCCTTTAACACTCGCCGATGTCCTGACCCTTGCCTTTAACACTCGCCAATGTTCTGACCCTTGTCTTTAACACTCGCCAATGTTCTGACCCTTGCCTTTAACACTCGCCAATGTTCTGACCCTTGCCTTTAACACTCGCCAATGTTCTGACCCTTGCCTTTAACACTCGCCAATGTTCTGACCCTTGTCTTTAACACTCGCCAATGTTCTGACCCTTGTCTTTAACACTCGCCAATGTTCTGACCCTTGCCTTTAATACTCGCCAATGTTCTGACCCTTGCCCTGTCCTAAGCGAGGACATGGCCCTAACTTTCACCTTAATCCTAACCATATTCCTAACCATAATCCTAACCATAAACCCAACCATAATCCTAACCACAAACATAACTCACAGATTTCCGTCACCGAAGTGTCTGCTTGCAAAAATAAAGCCCGAAATATTTTAGTCAAGTAACCCAAATTTTCAAACATTCAAACGCCAAAATCTAATAATTTCACTCTACCCCTATGTAACACTATACACAGATGTTAAATGTTGGTACATGTTTTTAAATTTCCATAACCAAAGTTTCTCCAGGCCACGCCTAGATGTCATCTGCTGACAAAGTCAACAAAAGGTAAGATCGATGCCTCGCTACACGTCTGTGTAGGTACTCACTGCAATATTTGGGTGCTGTCTGCGCATGCGTCACTTACCGTTCAACATCCATAATCATAAAAAGCTAGAGGAATGAAGTTAGAAGTTTAAATATACTTTTTCAGGAACATATTAATTTTTTATTTCAATATTTAGAGTTATTTTGAATAAAATTTTAGTTATATACTTAGTGGAGAAAATTAATGAAACCTATATGTGTTTTCATCGAAAGTGTGCAGCTAGATACTTGAATGCAACATTTTTCTCTGGCGATGTTTATAGAGCTTCTTGTTTCCATTAGACCCTACACACAGCGTGACATACGATACGAAGTAAGTAAAAACCCACATTTTAGACATAGCAATCCATTTGGCTAGATGAAGTAGAACTCATGTTTATTGCTTTCGTCATATGAAGGGGTAATATGGTCAGCACTATACCCAGCCGTCTTTACTTTCCCCAACGTAGGTCAGGTACTCATAAAAACTGAATGGACTTAGGGGCGTTTAAAAGTCACAATTCCGAACCGAGATCCTAACTCGAGACATTCGGGCTAACAGCCAAACGCTCTACCATTCGACCACGTCGTTCCACAAAAGATACAAAGTCGCGAATGTTATTTTATTCAACGTGCAGTATTTAGTTAAGCTTGATAAAGAGGCAGGTGGGGGGATATGTGAATCATACGGTGATCACGTGGGTTGGATCAGGATGTTGTGGTTGGAGTGGGCACAGTCAACAGGTTTAAACCCACTCTTCGACTCTGGTTTCCGCTGTGTCACGTGGTGGTCATGTGACCTACACGGAGACCACTGATTGGACAGAGATAGGTCCTTTACTGAAGTTTACTTAAGTAAGGATGAATAGCATCTTTAAAGTAAACGATAAATTAATTGAGCCCCAAATGTGGTCCTGGAGAGTTCACTATACCCAATTAATTTCCTCATGACATTCCCCAAACTCATTCTCTATCCCCCAACTCTAGATCTAAAAATAAACCTATTTCAACATTAACCCTATTCTTAGGCCCAATCCCTAAATATAGTTGTAAACGAAACAAGAAATACGAATTTAGGGTACAGTTAATCATAAGTCAACCCTAAATGTATTTCCCTTAGTTTTTATTACCGTTGGCTAAAATTTTAAATTAGTGTCGTTTAAAAAACTGAATTTTCATTGGGAGTGGTTTCTCATTCTCATTCTCTTTATATATATATATATATATATATATATATATATATATATATATATATATATATATATATATATATATATATATATATATATATATATATATATATATATTAAACTATCAATTGTATAGCAATACCTACATTCAGCAAAGCGAAGGCCTACATTATATAATCGTATTTTAATGTTTGGATTGTATGTTAGAAAAAAAAATCATGTGTTAAAATATGTTTGCATATTAACATTATGAAGCCTACATATTTAAACATGAAGCTATTAGTGTCAACATTTCATGTTGTAATTTCTATGGAACACCATTTGATTATATGTGAGAATTTTTTTTTTCCTTTCACCATGTTTAAAAGGGGTATCCAGGGGTGTGTGCTTAGAAATGCAGGACCTGAATCGTGGGTAAAGTTGTGAAATACTTCCACCTACCTGTCGCTGCCTGACGTTACCTGCGGCTACCTTTGGCTACCTGTGTGTTTTTCTTTGTCCCAAATAAGGCCCGCTCTAGAGCGGCACCCCGCCCCTACGTAGGACGTGAGTAAACACGGATTGGGGACGGGTGTTTTGACGTCACGGGTTGAGTGCGGAGGGGTTGGGGTGTGATGAGGGGGGAGAGGGGTGTATTTAAATTAATATAAGACAGCGGGTTTGGAATTCCTCATTAGAGCCATTGAACGAGGGACGTCCTACGGTTTAGCAGACGGCAGTCAAGAACAAAATACTGCCATAACACAAGGTGGGTGAAATCAGACGTACGCTTTGAAATATTCCTCATTATTTTTTTCGCATTTTTAAAGTTTTATTTCTTTTTCATAAAGAAAAACTTACTTTAAATGTGTACTGTATTTAAAACGTAAATTGTAAAATATTTTACAAATTGGTAAATTTAGATTGAATTTAAATAAATTGTTAAACATAATTTGTGTCAGTAAAATTTAATCATAATTAGATTTTATAAAAATAAAAATCAAATTTTGGATACATAATTTTGCAACAATGGAATATTTTGCGATTTATGTTAAAAGTGTGATTGACAAATCTTTATTTTAATTAACACAATACCCCGCAAAAATAGCATGAATAAAGATATTTTAATTTAAACTATTTATATTATAAATATTGTATCCAACTTCACAAAAAATGCAAAAGTGATATTAATTATTTGCGGTTTGAGCTTATAGTAGGACTCTGTCTGAAAATTCATTTACAGCTTCTTTGATTGTTATATTAGAAAAAACTGTTTTCAGCCTGCTGTAGTTAGGTAGGAACTTTTCGGAACAAAACTTCAGAGGGCCCTTGTTAAAGCCTGATCTACCCCTGTCTTAATCCGCCACTGATAAGGAGTATTGCACTGTGACAATGTAGCCGCCGTGTTTCTTTTCATGGCGACCATCGTGTTCAATAGTGCCAGACTGTGTCTGGAACTGTGTAAATACGTTCGACAGCGTCGTGTTTATCTATTGAACACGGCAGTTTGAGTGGGTCAGTGTTAGGTGCTCACGGGGGACAGGGGAGGGGGTGAGTGGAGGCGACACGGGGATCGGGAGACAGGAGGGTGGAGTTGTGGGGACACTGGGGGTCGGGACAGGGCGTGTGAGTTGTTAGGTCACGATGTGGCAGTTGGGTGTTAGAAATGTGTTTTAGAGACGAGTTGTTACGTAAGGCGATACAGTGAGATGGGCTGGTTTTGTTGGATATGACAGTGATGAAAGTTTAACGGTCAGCATCGGTCAGTCAGACTTAAGTACAAGTTACGTAAACCGCCATGCAAAAGGTTATAGTGTTCTTTAAGTCTTAAAAGTGTCGTATTTATTACGTATGTTTTTACATTTTTTTTTAATTTAGATAAAATTATAATTCAATCATTTGTATTGATTTATCCATGACAACTAGTCGAAGTTGATAAATAATTGATTGTTCATTAATTATATGGTTGCATTAATTAGAAAGTATGATATGATGCTTGCGTGCTAGTGTTACACGGTGTGTGTAAGCAATATATATATATATATATATATATATATATATATATATATATATATATATATATATATATATATATATATATATATATATATATATATATATATATATATATATATATAAAATGAATGTAAACTGTCGGACTCAATATTTAATTTGCGATGAGTATAAAATTATGTGGGATTCGAGATAACACGGTACTAATTCTAGATGAGGTGGGTCGATAAGGTAGATTTAGGTAGATGTGGTAGTTAAGGTAGATGTGGTAGTTTAGGTAGATGTGGTAGTTTAGGTAGATGTAGTAGTTTAGGTAGATGTGGTAGTTTAGGTAGATGTAGTAGTTTAGGTAGATGTGGTAGTTTAGGTAGATGTGGTAATTGTGACGTAGATGTTTATATAAAGTGCGTGTGAGAGTGGCCTCCCCTTGAAACTGGTGTGCGAGCGAGGACACCTCTGCGGCTCTCCCAGTTAGTGCCGGTTGTATCATCATTGGCCAGCATTGTTCTGGGAAGTTATAATTGTACGTTGTAATTTCGAATGATGTTGATAATGTAGGTAAGATTAATGAGATGGATGAGGTAAATGAAGTCAGTGAGGTAGATTAGGTAGTTTTTTAAGATGATGTAGATGAGACAGATGAAGTAGATGGGATAGATTAGGTAGATGGGATAGATAAGGTAGATGAGACAGCTGAGGTAGATGAGACAGATGAGGTAGATGAGACAGCTGAGGTAGATGAGACAAATGAGGTAGATGAGGTAGATGAGGTAGATGAGACAGATGAGGTAGATGAGGTAGATGATGTAGATGAGACAGATGAAGTAGGTGAGACAGATGAGGTAGATGAGACAGATGAGGTAGATATGGTAGATGAGGTAGGTGAGACAGATGCGGTAGATATGGTAGATGAGGTAGGTGAGACAGATGCGGTAGATGAGACAGATGAGGTAGATGAGGTAGATGAGACAGATGAGGTAGGTGAGACAGATGAGGTAGATGAGACAGATGAGGTAGATGAGACAGATGAGGTAGGTGAGACAGATGAGGTAGATGAAGTAGATGAGACAGATGAGGTAGATGAGGTAGATGATGTAGATGAGAGATGAGGTAGATGAGACAGATGCGGTAGATGAGACAGATGAGGTAGATGATGTAGATGAGACAGATGAAGTAGATAATACAGATGAGACAGATGAGGTAGGTGAGACAGATGCGGTAGATGAGACAGATGCGGTAGATGAGACAGATGAGGTAGATGATGTAGATGAGACAGATGAAGTAGGTGAGACAGATGAGGTAGATGAGACAGATGAGGTAGATATGGTAGATGAGGTAGGTGAGACAGATGCGGTAGATGAGACAGATGAGGTAGATGATGTAGATGAGACAGATGAAGTAGATGATACAGATGAGACAGATGAGGTAGGTGAGACAGATGCGGTAGATGAGACAGATGAGGTAGATGATGTAGATGAGACAGATGAAGTAGGTGAGACAGATGAGGTAGATGAGACAGATGAGGTAGATGAGGTAGATGAGGTAGATGAGGTAGATGAGGTAGATGAGGTAGATGAGGTAGATGAGGTAGATGAGACAGATGAGGTAGATGAGGTAGATGAGGTAGATGAGGTAGATGAGACAGATGAGGTAGATGTGGTAGATGAGACAGATGAGGTAGATGAGACAGATGATGTAGATGAGACAGATGAAGTAGATGATACAGCTTAGACAGATGAGGTAGGTGAGACAGATGATGTAGATGAGACAGATGATGTAGATGAGACAGATGAGGTGGATGAGGTAAATGAGGTAGATGAGACAGAATCAGTCGGCTCTACTCCAACCTCTTCTTACCGGTTTTTTAAAACGTACTTTTTACGTTATCAAAGTGCAAGCTTAAACAAAAACACATGCGTAGTTTCATATTTTAGATGTTTACAGTAATTATATTGTTAACAAATAGCAGGAAATAGGCCCAAAGCTAACATTTAGGAGTTCACTTAAAGCAGGTAGCAACTGAAAAAAGCAAAATTTATTTAGAAATTTAAGGATACAAATAGTAAAATATATTTAGAAATGTAATTTTAATTTTTTTTTTACCCTATCGCATGTTGTTGGTTTTCAATGACATCTAAAACTACATTACGTTTCACAGACGTATGCCTGATGTGGTTATAACCATTCGATTATTTTGAGACCAATAAGCATTGCTAATCACCTTCACAACAAACAGTCCAAGCGAAAGTTAAACACATTTTTTGTTGTAAATAAACGCCGCGTTTTATTTTCGTCTCCACTGTGACGCAAACGAAAACAAATTCACATGTTGTGATATTTATAAACATGCCCACACTTTACCTTTACGAACCAAAGCCACACACCATACACACACACACACACAACACACACACAAACATCAGCGCTGAACTCCCACGCGGGGGCTAGCTCAGCATTTTTTGTAAAGGTCTGCCGTGACTCGATTTAAACGTCAAGTGACCTGAAATAGAACTGGACTAGATACCTTACAAATCACGGGACATCCGAGTGTTGCTATACATTATACAAGCATGGAAATACTCGTTGCCATAAAAGTATAAGCACAGTCATAGGCAAAGTTACTGGTTGATTGCGTAACTTTAGTATAAGAAAATAATGTATTTCTATAATCGCAACAGTTATTTTAGTAATGTATTTCTATTATAGCAACAATTATTTTAGTAATGTATTTCTATAATAGCAACAGTTATTTTAGTAATGTATTTTTTTATAGCAACAATTATTTTAGTATCGTGTGGTTGTTTGGAAAAATTAGTAATTATCTTTTATTAAAATAATTGATAAAATGTTTTAAAAAGTTAAGTAATCTTTTCATCTATTCTAGCCTATTAATACTTAAAACCTATTTATTTTTTCTTTTAAATGATAGATCTGCAACATTCGAATGACTAGTTTAAAATTGTATTAAAACATTAATATTAAATACTATAAATACACTTTTTACCAAAGTATTAAAAAAATTTTTACAAGTACCATTGTTTCATTATACAGTAGAAAGATAAAGTCTAATGGCTTTTCTATTTTTAAAGTCTCTCTTGCACTGCTAGCCGTAAGATGTTTTTTAACGACTAATTAGGGTCGAATAAAACCGAACTGGGCTATCAGTGCCACAATAATGGAATCTTCCCTAGACGGGGGTGTTAGCTTATTGGTAGAAAACTATAAACTATCATAACGTCTTGATGTCAACACTAACCCTATACCCAACCCAAACCCTAATCCCAGTTTTAACATTGTGTTAATTTTATTTTCTTGCCTCAACGCTAAACCTAACATTGCTATACTATTACCAACATAACAAGTCTATTTTCGGGAGAGAGAACTTACTATCCAACACTGTTCAATTAAAGATTCCGATGTGTAAGTGTAAGCTCAACACCTTAATAGCACCAAGATGCATTTAATAAATATAACAAATCAAATAAACCATAGTTTTTTTTTCGACAGATTAAATCAAACCAAGGCCAATAACTGAAACCAACAAACAAGAACCAAGGGAGATAAGAAACAAAGATGAACACGAAAACTGCGGTGCTACTTTTTGTAGTACTCTCAGCCTGTATCACAGGAAGCTACCAACAAACACGTGAGTAGTACTCTACTAAATCCGTTCTACTCTACTCTACCTCGAACCTGTTATGTTAAAATTCCCATCAGTATATCACAAGTTTATATTTTTTTGCTTCACTGGTTTGTTTATGTTTCAATTTTTGGCCTATTTTTTTTTGTTTAAAAGGATTACGTTATTGTAAATTAATTATTATATGCTTGTAATCTTACCTTTCTTTTATTTCAAATATGTTGTTTTGAATTAGCTATTTTACGTTGCTATTATTTTTCAGATTAATGTTTACTTTTTCATGCTAACGTTTATCTAGGAATATTTTTGCTTATAATTTTTTGCATTACTTTCTATAATTAACTTTTTAAATTTTTAATTAATCTTTAAAATAAGTTTATATTTCAAAAAATATTTTAGTAGCTTGTCTGCAGCATAGTTTGTTTTTTTTTGTTTTTTTTATTTTACCTCTTGATAACCTTAAGTTTTTGTTATTTCGTCTGTAAACATATTGCACATCTCACAACAGCCTATCCATAACTTACTGTTGTTTCATCTGCAAAACAAATTGCACACCTCGCGATTTCTCAGAATGTAATTAAACTTCTTATTTCATCTGTAAACAAATTACACACCTCGCGATTCCCCAGAATGTATCGGCAGCCTGGACATTATTTTCGCGGTGGACGGCTCCAACAGTATGGGCGAGCAGAACTTCATCAAGCAGCGGACAACACTGGTCAACCTGGTCAACAGGCTGACCGTCAGTGACAGCGAGATCCACATCGGCCTCTGTCTCTTCAGTAACAGTGTCACAGAGACCATCGCACTGTCAGGGAACAAGGTTGACGTCATTAAACGTGAGTTATATTCCATACATTTTTATATTGAACTGCTAATTACCTACCCTAAATATAAATCATAAACCGCTAGTTATCTCCCTTAAATAGACAGCATAAACTTCTTCCCACATATACCCAATTATAAACCGTGAGTTATCCGCCCTAAATAAAAATATGCATATAATTCTGAGATATTTTCACTAAAGGGTTATATATAATTAATTATGTATAATTAATTGTGTGATGTCTTATAGATGCACATCATAAACAGTGAGTTGTTGGCACCTAGAAATATATTTTAAACGAATGTGTATTCTCTCACAGCTAAACATCATATAATGAGAGTTATCGCCACATTTCCTTGTGAACTGTGAGTTATTTCCCCCTTGTTTTACACACATTCTGTAAGACGAAACACTCGGCTCTAAAGATCATCAATATGACTCATCTTTCCTTTCGCATCATGATTCGTACAGTCTTACCGACACTATAGAACTCTAGACCATGTGTAAATATAAAATATTTGCTCAGCATATGTCGCCTGACGAAAATAGTTTTAGGAGTGGTCTCCCCGTGAAGTGTTGGAAAGAGGGAGAGCAGAAAAGTTTTTTAATGTTTCTACCACACTGTTTCATCAAAATAGACGAATGGACCTGAGCACACATTGAATATTTTCAACAGCGTAAGACGGCCTGTATTTGATTTAAGAGCCGGAAGATTGTTGAACCGGTTGAAGTGTCAGGGTCCCGCCGGCCGCATCAAAGACTAAAAGTTTAAAGATAGTTCATTAGATGTTTCAGGCATTAGACAAACAGTAGCATAGACTAGTCATAAGGGAGGGGGGTCTTGTAGAAAACGTTAGATAGATGGTGTGAGTTGGTGGGGGTGGGTGTTTAAACTGCAGACTCAACTACGTCGCTATTTTTTGTGTCAACTTGACCTAATTATCATAAGAGTAACGCATTCGGTAGCCCAGTAAGAAAATACTTGTAGTAACCATGCGTATATCAAAAACTGTAAGAACAATATATATATATATATATATATATATATATATATATATATATATATATATATATATATATATATATATAGTTAATATATAGCCCGGGGCGAATCCTACCCTGTTGGGGCACTGTCAGACGCGCCTGATTCAGTTTAGTGAGCGACTATCAGGGCCGGCGCTACCTATAAGGTGAACTAGGCGGTCGCCTAGGGCGCTATCCATAGGGGGGCGAAAAATGTGTTATCTCCAATAGCAAAAAGTACCTAATAATTAATAAATTTGGTTACATTATATAAACTTTGGACAGGGTAATATATAAAGGCGTGGCTATCTATTTCGGTGCCCCGGACGAACTATCAATTTTGCACCCCATCTTCAAATTAGGCCTATACATAGTTATTCGCGTTGATAAAAATGCACCCCCCATCACTCTCACCAGGAAATGTCGGGGTGCTTTTTACCAGTCACTTTGGCTTTTTACTTTGCTGCCAAGCAATGGTTGTAGAACACAATTAAATAAGTCATTAATACCAAGTAGCAATCAACATTCTTTATTTCAACTGTATAATATAATTCAGTAAGGAGCTTTTAATATTAGTATCTACCGCGTTTGGCGCCCTCTTTTGATCGGCGCCTGTGCAGTTTTGTTTTTTAAATAGAGCTAAGTCCCATATTCTCTCACTTTGAATTAGAACTCTCGTTAGACAGTGAGAGATTTAGATTTTTTATTGCTGGCACCACAAGACCCTAAACATAATTTTTAAGTAATATTCTAATACACACACATATATACACAAACAAACATATAAATATATATATATTATATATATATATATATATATATATATATATATATATATATATATATATATATATATATATATATATATATATATATATATATATATATATGTTAATATATATTAAGTATATACACTCACACACACACACATACATAGAAATAGGGGTCCGTAAAAAAAATTGCGAGGGGTGGGGGGCGTTTTAATAAGTTTTGCCTAGGGCGCTAAATAACCTGGCGCCGGCACTGGCGACTATAATACTACTTCTTTTCCATATTCTATCACAATCTTTAAAACGAAAGGCGAAATGGAATTTTCTTTTCGCAGAAACTTCCCTATGAGTATTCTCAACAACTTGCCAAAGTTTCATAGCGATCAGATGAAAGGTGTAGCAATGCATTAATGATAAAAATAAAAATCTGACGAAATATATTAGGAGGGTTTCATCAATGCTTTGCCAATTATGTATTCTTAGCCGCGTGACCTTGTTTTCTAAAACTGAGTTCTTTAAATGTAAACAATGACTGCGCTTGGAACATATTTCCCTACTCTACCGCCCAAAACAAGCCCTTGTCGCCGGCGGATGCGCCTGTTCATGTTTAGTGAACGACTCTAAAAACCAATCGTATGCATAGTTTTTTGCAATGTTTAAAACAAACGTAGGCGCCATAGCGCTCACGGGAAAGACTTGGGCGCCAAATCGCAACTTGACGGAGGGGGGGCGTGCGAAATTGAATTCCCCCACCACCAGAAACATTCTCGGGAGTATCCTCATCAACTCTCCAAAGTTTTACGGCCCTCGTATAAACGGTGTCGAACCGCATTCTTCTTTTATTTTTTAATATACCGCATATAGAGAAGAATCATACGTTAATTATAGGATTATATATTTTTAATGTTATACGTTTTGGAAAAATAATGTATTCAAAAGCTATTGGCCTAAACGCAACACTACAAGTTGAGATATTAGTGATAAAGTACAGAAAGAACTAAATAACTAAAAATCCGGTACATTTAAAATCAAAGAAATAACTAAATAGCTAAACATCCGGCACATTTAAAATAACAAAGGCTACTAATACTTATTAGAAGAACCCAATTATATACATTATAAGTCAACACAACACCATATTAAATGAATACACTGATCAAAAGACTTAAATGATTCCGTTAAAAACCTGGCTGTGCAATTGTATTTCTGTTGTTTTTTAAAGTAATTTGTATTACTTTTGTATTACTTTTGGCCTAGAAATGTGTATACATTTCATAGCGTGCGTTTTGATAAGTAGATCAATAGATCTAAACCAAACTTCATATTCTAAAGTTGGAAGATGACGCCATTAGTTTTGTGTACTTTCCGTATTTTAACCTTGTGGCACGTGACGTCATTGTTTTTGATTGTTTGTTGTTTTTTGTTTTGTTTTTTGTTTTTTGCGAATTTGAAACCTCCCTTAAAGTGTTCTCATCAGCTCCCCAAAGTTTAATGGCATTCGGATGAACGCTGTCGAGCCACATCCGACTTTTATTTTTTGTATATACCGTATATAGAGAAAAAACGCACCCTCCCGGGGCGCCGCCCTTGTGAAATTAGAAGAAATTTTTTGTAGAAACCTCCCCTAGAGTGTTCTAATCCCCAAAGTTTCATGGCGATCGGATGAACGGTGTGAAACCGCAATCGACGTTTATTTTTTATATACCGTATTTATAGAAAAAAATCGTTTTCTGCCGGGGCGCCACCCCTGAGAATTTGAATTTTTTTAAAATCCGCACAAACCTCCCTAGGAGTATTCTCAACAATTTCATGCCGTTCGCATAAAAAGGTAGTAATGCATAAAAGACAAACAAATAAACAAACAAGAGACACACACACATACATTCCTTTATAAATATATATATATATATATATATATATATATATATATATATATATATATATATATATATATATATATATATATATATATATATATATATATATATATATATATATATATATATATATATATATATATATATATTTATTTATTTATATATATATATATATATATATATATATATATATATATATATATATATATATATATATATATATATATATGTATATATATATATATAATATATATATAATATATATACGTACAAAGTATTGATGTTTGTCCATCAGATATTAACAACCTCACCTACCCTGACGAACAGACCAGAACTGATCTGGCCATCGACAGGGCCATCGAGATGTTTAGCACACAAGGCCGCGGGCCATCGGTGCCCAAACTATTGATGGTCATCACAGATGGAGCGTGAGTACATCTCGGTTACACACGGCAACACACGTCACACACATGACACACGTCACACGCGTCACACGACAAGACACGTCAAACACATCACACACGTCACACACATGACACACGTCACACACGTCACACACGTCACACACGTCACACACGTCACACACGTCACACACGTCACACACGTTACACGTCACACGTCACACACGTTACACACGTCACACACTTCACAGGTCACACGGCACACACGTTACACACGTCACACACTTCACAGGTCACACACGTCACACACGTCACACAGAAACACATGTTTGACTATAACCCAGCACGATCAACGTTTTTTGTGTAACACATCTACTTTATTGTTTATAATTGCTTCGTTCATCCCAACTCAACTCTCCCCCTCGTTTAAACAGAGCCTAAACCAATATAGCCCCCCCCCCATTCCCTAATCAGTATTGTCTGGCACCAAACATAAACGAATGACCGCTCCACAGGTCAACCAAGCCTCTCCTGACCCAGAGTTCTGCTGCCACCGCCAAAGCCAGGAACATCACAATCTACGCTGTGGGCGTCACCGCCCAGATCGACAGGAACGAACTGGAGAGCATGGCCAGCAAGAAAGAAACGGTAACTCCTTCAAGCTTGGCCTCTGTCTATCTGGCACTTTTCTTACCCACTCTCTTTCTCTCTAGCTCTCTTTTTCTCGTTCTAACCAACTCGTCCTTTGCCTCTCTTTCTAGCTCTCTCTCTCCCCTCTATCATTCTCATCCTGTCACTCTTTCTCGCACCCTCAACACTTCTCTCACTCACCCGCTCTCTCTCTCTCTCTCTCCTGGGTTACTCTGTACTCGTCTCGATACACTCTGCGTCGTGGTACTACCATGCCAGCTACAGTTGACATCTACAACATCGTTCAGTCATTCAGTCAAACACCAACACAATCACTTAGGTAGGGCTGACTAATACCAGATTGTAATCGAACCCACACACAATCACTTAGGTAGGGCCGACTACCACCAGCTTGTAATCGAACCCACACACAATCACTTAGGTAGGGCCGACTACCACCAGCTTGTAATCGAACCCACACACAATCACTTAGGTAGGGCTGACTAATACCAGATTGTAATCGAACCCACACACAAGCACTTAGGTAGGGCCGACTACCACCAGCTTGTAATCGAACCCACACACAATCACTTAGGTAGGGCCGACTACCACAAGCTTGTAATCGAACCCACACACAATCACTTAGGTAGGGCCGACTACCACCAGCTTGTAATCGAACCCACACACAATCACTTAGGTAGGGCCGACTACCACCAGCTTGTAATCGAACCCACACTCTTCATGTCGCAGGTCGTCACCACTAACGACTTCACCACCCTAGAGGGCAGTTTGGTCAACGCCACCAACAGGGCATGTGTTGACGTCGGTATGTACTCACCTACACCCGCATACGTCTGCACTACCGACATCTTTTGCTTGCTCACCTGTTTAAAATTGACATTGTCCCCTCGTATCCAGCATCGGTCCCCACCCACATTCTCCTACCCACACCCTCAGCCCCCAACCCCATCGTAACCTGTGTCCTACCCACACGCCCCATCCCACACCCTAACCACAAATCCATCTAATCCCGTACTCTATCCACCCCTCCCATTAAATACAATAAAACCCCTGCCCTCCATCTCTACCCCCTCCCCCCGCCCAATGAACTAAACCCCCATACATTTGAAGCAAGCATTAGATGTTGATTATTCTCTAATACACGGAGATTTTTACTCTCATTATAACCGGATTTTCTATTGCTTTAACTCTTTAACAGCAATTTAACTAACTAAAAATGTGGCTTAATATTATTGTATATAATCAAGAATTGTTAACAACTTAACATAATATAAGGAAAAAACTAATTCTAAATGTAATAATTTAAATAGCATTTATTCGATTCTAACAATAACATTTTGTGCACCTTCTAACTTTAACATTTTAACACATTTCTAACCTTAACTCAACTTCTCTTTCTTTTTATCGTCATTTTTCTCAAAATCGAAGAAATTACGTTCAGTTTTAATTCATCTAAATTTGAAGAGACTTTTCTTACTTTAAGTTATAATTTTTTTTTACTCGAGAATCTATTTTCTATACCAAAGCTGAGAGGCGGATCAATCTTCTTTCTTAAAATAGAATTATTAATAACCAAGTCATTTTCAAAACTTGCAGTATCCATATTCTTTTTAAAACGTGTAAAGACTTCAGATTTCATCGAGATTTCCCTAATATCTCTTTCTTTCACAAAAAGATCCATTTCAGATTTTTCTGTTTTACTAACTTAATTAACGGCTGCACTTAACACCAATCACTGCACAGATAACATCTGCACATTTGTGCACATTTGTGCTCTTACGTGCACTTAACTGATTCCTTATAATGAGGATGAAATCAAATTTTTCCCCCTCTTAAATGTCTCTTAGCTATCCAGATTTAGCGAAAAGAAATCTTCAGTCTCTAAAATGGTGTAAGTTTCGTATGGTTAGTCTAAAGGTGCTGCTAAAATTGTATGTGTATGTCTCTATGATATGACGACCTAGGTTTCGTAATGTTAGTCTCAAGGTGTTACTAATATTTGTATGTGTATGTCGTCCTGTCTGAACTAACACCTCCAGCATTTCGCAGAATGCTACGACGCACAGGTCGACCTAGTCTTTGTTCTAGACTCCACTAACAACATCGGAGCCCAAAATTTCCAGGAAATGATCAGTTTCGTTCAGGACTTTCTGATCTTCGCCTTCGTCGATAACGGCAACTTCCGGGTGGGCGTGATGACCCTGAGTGACCAGGCGTACGTTGAGTTCCAGATGACTAGATACGACCGCAGCAAGAAGGCCTTGTCCAGCGCCCTCAACAGCATCCCGTACAGGACGGGCTACGCCAGCAAGACGGAAGCGTTCGCGGCTCTCAAACAGAATATGTACACGACAGCCAACGGTGACCGGAAGGACGTCCCCAATGTCGTCATCCTGCTGACCTCTAACACGGCCGGCTCAAATGTCGCCCAGATCATCAGCGAGGCCGAGGGCGTCAGGGCTCAGGGGATACAGATCTTCGCTGTCGGTGGGTTCCTTTTCTACTTTCGCTTTCAAACCGGAAGTTTGCAAATGGGTACCTATTGAATAGTGTTAGCAATACCGAGAAAACACATAGTAATTATGGCGAAAAAATGTTTTATTCAGTAAATATTTAGACATGTTACTTGCATAAAATCAATTAGAAAAAAAATTGAATTTATTACAATGGATTATGCGACTAGACAATATAGTATAAAATTAGGTTTTTTATAATACATTGTTAGACTTAGGAATAGGTTGAGGATTAAGGGTATGCTAGAGAGAAATTGGTCCTGCATTAAGGAAACAGTATTAGCTAGGTTAAATGTTAGTATGCAAGTTATGGAGAGGACTTATATTAGTGCAGCATAGTTAAGAAAATATTTCGATTCGAATATCTCCTGCCGACGTATTGAAAATACTCTTCGAGATTACCGAAGTTTATCCCCACAAGCGAAAAGCTGTTAAGTTACAATTTAGTATCAACACTTCAAGTTAATTAAACTCAATTAATTAACCCTTCTTTGGTTTGAAATCATCAGGTATCGGATTATCAAATACTCAAGAGTTGGACGGTATCGCCAGCAAGCCTTTAATCGAAAATCGATTCACTATCCCCAACTTTTACCAGCTTCGCCCAGTAATCGAACAGGTCTACAAAAAATTTAATCGATTCTGTGAAAGTAAGTTTGTCCTCTGTCAACACAAATCGAGAATGGCGTACCAAGTATCGTGGTTGAAATATACCGATACTGCCCGAATGCATGAGAATGTTAAATCTATGATAGATTTTACGTGCATGCCAATGTTAAAATTAGGCGGCATTATTTTAGGCATGTTGGTGTTAAATTCACGACACAAAAAAGGTGTATGCACTTGCATGTTAAACTATGACCGACAACAAAATCATACGAATAATAGTTAGAACTTTGACAAAAACATTTTTACTTGTGACTATGAAAAACATATTTCCTTGTGACTATGACAAAAACATATTTATTGTGACTATAACAGACACATATTTGCTTGTGACTATAACAGACACATATTTGCTTATGACTATAAGACACATATTTGCCTGTAACTATGACAAACATTGGTTTCAATAGAAATGTTGGTGATGTTCATTGTAGGTTTTTTTTCTCATAGAGAAAGAACATTTAGAAATGTTTTATGTTCTTCAGGAATATATCCAGGAGAAACATGTACGCTTTCTCTAGACGTTTTCATACCCTCTGTTGTAACTCTGTCATATATATATATATATATATATATATATATATATATATATATATATATATATATATATATATATATATATATATATATATATATATATATATATATATACACGTATATCTTTTTTAAATTGTTTTTTTTAAACTCAGCACCTACTTGACCCAGCATGACTTAGGTAAATGTACCTACCCTATAACTATTTTTACCAACTCGTAGCTCAGCCAGCAAAAATAAAAAAATACTCCACTTAACCCTAATACCCCCCCCCCCCTACCCCACAAGGTGACGTTCACCTGATGCCCTATAAGATCTGAGTATATTTACTTTTCTCTTCTGGTAACTCTTTCTGTTGACTTTTCCTTTCATTTGGAGATCTCTGACAGGAGAGGTTCGAAACAGGGGAGATAATTACATATGCATATAGATTTTTCAAAATATGTTTTAATAACATTAGTTCTTTTCTTAAAATAACATAGTTCTGTTTATACATAGAAGTAAATTAGTATTTTATCTGTGTCTGTATAGAAATAAAATAAAATAAGAGTAATGACTAAGTAAATTATATTTAACCTGGTCACCATTTTTGATTCCCCACCTTGCATTTTTAACATTCTTAATTTTACTATCTATCAGAATTCTTAATTAATTTGCGTACTGTAGTGCTCTAGAATTCGCTTTATTTGATTCTACCTCTCTATTTGATAATTTATTTGCACGCTTTAAAAATAACACATCTCATCTTTTAGTTAACATTCACCTTACTCAAGGGTCACCTGCAAAACATGCACTAATAAATTAACAACACTTTTTTCTATGACTAAATTAATATGTAATTTATATTTCAGCTCACATTATGAAAATTGTTTAGCCATGTTTCTTAGAGTAGCATAGAATAACTTTATTAAACTTACAAGCTTAGCGTAAACAATAAATTAGAAAATAACATACCATATGAATAACTTTAAATACACATTTGAGTAAATGGAAATTAAATTAAGTCAGAACTGAACATTTTAAGGTTCACGGTATTTTTATAGATTGAAATGAAATTGAAGTAAAATAAAATAAAATATATTTTTTAACAGCGATTTAATTTGTAATTATATTATTAATGAATATGAATTTCCTAAGCAATACATTTATAACAACGAATACATCACTAAACACAAACTAATCTTTTAAACCTCATCTCCACAGCCCCTCCCCCTGTTCCAGGTGAGTTTACCTCATCAAATTCTCACAGTTATCTCATTGAAATCTCAGTTTTATATTATCAAAATTTAAAACCCCTGTTTTATTTCATTGAAATATCAGCTTTATCAAAATCACAGATATATCTCATCAAAACCTGACTTTTATCTCATTAAAGTCTCAACTTCATCTCATCAAAATCTCACTAGAAAAAAATAAAAGGATTTAGTAAGTCAGTAACATCGTTCATTCATTCCATTGTTTGACCTGTGTATGAACTATCCCATAGTTTGACCTGTGTACCATCTATCCCATAATTTGACCTGTGTATCATCTATCCCATAGTTTGACCTGTGTATCATCTATCCCATAGTTTGACATGTGTATCAACTATCCCATAGTTTGACATGTGTATCAACTATCCCATAGTTTGACCCGTGTATCATCTATCCCATAGTTTGACCTGTGTATCAACTATCCCATAGTTTGGCCTATATATCATCTATCCCATAGTTTGACCTGTGTATCAACTATCCCATAGTGTGGACTATATATCATCTATCCCATAGTTTGACCTATGTACAATCTATCCCATAGTTTGACCCGTGTATCATCTATCCCATAGTTTGACCTGTGTATCAACTATCCCATAGTTTGGCCTATATATCATCTATCCCATAGTTTGACCTGTGTATCATCTATCCCATAGTTTGACCCGTGTATCATCTATCCCATAGTTTGACCTATTATCATCTATCCCATAGTTTGACCTATGTATCATCTATCCCATAGTTTGACCTATGTATCATCTATCCCATAATTTGACCTATGTATCATCTTTCCCATAGTTTGACCTGTGTATCATCTATCCCATAGTTTGACCTATGTATCATCTATCCCATAGTTTGACCTGTGTATGTTCATCTATCCCATAGTTTTACATGTGTATCATCTATCCCATAGTTTGACCTATATATCATCTATCCCATAGTTTGACCTATATATCATCTACCCCATATAATGACCTGTGTATGTATCATCTACCCCATATAATGACCTGTGTATGTCCTGTCCACAGCCTGCTATATGGGAGACACTGACCTCTGGTTTGTTGTTGACGTGTCCAGTAAGGCTGAGACCATGTCCAGACAAGACTTCCCGGGGGACTTTGCTCGCCTCAAGAATGGTCTGACTAAGCTCATGGACATTGTCATGGTGAGGGCATCGTGGAAGGGGGGGGGGGGTGTTGTTGAGGTGGGGGAGATATTTCGATGAGGGGGGGGGGGGGGGCGCCAGTGGGGATAACAAAGTAAACATAATCTATAGTTGAGGTTTAGAATAATTTATACGTTATTGTTTTCAATGTAATTTTAAAATTGGTACCAATAGATGTGCTAGAAATGTATGATAATAGTCAATGTGGTCAGTATATGGTTATAAATTATTCTCGTTTTCTATTTAAATGTTTAGCTGTAGCATGTTGACTTACATAATATAAAATTATCCTATTACATTTTTTTTTCTATTTTTTTTCATAAAAATTACGTTCATTCATTTCTAAATTTTTAAACTGAAAAAAATGTTATAAAAGTTTTCATTTTAAATCTTTCAACGTTTGAAAACCTCAGTAAATATAATTTTCTAACGTCCACCCCTCGACAGGACCCCAGTGTGTCTAACCCAGGCATCCACACCGGTCTGGTCACCTACAGCGACACGGTACAAGTCGCCTATGACGTCAGCTCCTACAACTCCGTCTCCCAGACGGCTCAGCTGCTCAGGTCACTTCCGGGCGGCCTGAGACAGGGCGGATCCTACATGACGCCCGCTCTAAGGGCGATAACCAACCCACCCCGAGCCACGGAGTACAAGAGTTACGTGGTGATTGTCGCCCCTGAGACCGCCTACACCAGTGACGCACAAGGGATCCAGACTGAGATAGCCAGGTGAGTTGTCTCTCACATGTAAGGTCAAGGTCAGCTCTGTCAACATTGTGTGGTGCACTTTTAAAATTGTATGGTGCACTATCAACATTGTGTAGTCACTATTGAGATAGTGTAGAGCACTGTCGAGATAAAGTAGTGCACTAGTAACGTTGTGTGGTGCACTATCAACATTGTGGGGTGCACTATGAACATTGTGCGGTGCACTATTAACATGGTGTGGTGCACTGTCAACATTGTATGGTGCATTGTCAACGTTATGTGGTGCACTATCAACATTGTGCACTGTCAACATTGTGTTGTACACTATCAACATTGTGTGATGCACTATCAACATTGTATGGTGCACTGTCAACATTGTGAGGTGCACTGTCAACAATGTATGGTGTACTGTCAACATTATGTGGTGCACTATCAACATTGTGTTGTGCACTGTCAACATTGTGTTGTGCACTGTCAACATTATGTGGTGCACTGTCAACATTGTGAGGTGTACTGTCAACAATTTGTGGTGCACTGTCAACATTGTGTTGTGCACTATCAACATTGTGTGGTGCACTTTCAATTTTGTATTGTCCGCTATTTTTTTGTCTTATATGTGTGTGTCCAACGTTGCTTTGTCCAATTATTTATTGTTCACATTTTAATATCTAATATATTGTTATCCAAATTTTTATCGTCCAATGATTTTCTGTCCATTGTTTTACTGTCAAATGATTTATTACCCGATTATTTATCATTCAATGTTTTGTATCCAAATGGCTTTAAAGTCTACAGAATTATAGTCTAATATTTTATTGCCCAAAGTATTACTGTCCAGAGTTTCTTCCAGGCATCTCTTCGGCGAAGCCCTCCCGAAAAAATTCTACCGCCCCCCCCCCCCCCCCCTCCCGAACGAAATGAAATTTATATAATTTATATAGAAAATGTATACTTTTAACAGTGTCCGCCCCCCCCCCCCCCCCAAAAAGGTCTACCGCCCCCCCCCCCCCGAAAATTTCAAGTGCCCCCCCCCCCGGAGAAAAAAGTCTGGAAGAAACACTGTTACTGTCCAAAGTTTTATGGTCCATTTTCTATTGCGCCACAGACTGAAGAACCTCGGCTACACAATCGTTCCATTCGTCGTCAAGGAGACGGGTGTCTTGAACCAGTACGACCTGATGAGCAGGGCCAGTGGCTCCAACTACTTCTACGGCTTCAACAGCTACTCCGAGCTGGAAGCCGCAGCTAAGAACTTCACCAGAGACCGACTCTGTAACGGCTACGTCGGCTCCCCATGTAAGCTGTGTGTCTGTCACGCTATTGGTCGAATCGCTTACACACAACTACATACATTGCATGTGTGATTGGCTGATACATTATCTAGAATCAAAAATGTTTAAGAATCGTGGAGCTGTAAGCCAACATATCGTCTTGCAACTAAAAAAAAAAACATGTTTTTAACAAAGATCTATATAGGCTATACTGAAACCGAAAGGCAGAGTTTGTAATTATATATTTTTTTTAAAAGTAGTTTAAACAAAGTGTTTATGAAACTGAATAATTGTTTTAAAATAATATCAACTTTATATATTATATTTTTTAAAAAGTAGTTTAAGCAAAGTGTATATGAAACTGAATAATTGTTTTAAAATAATATTAACTTTATACATCTAAACCCATGTTTACACAGTCTCCGAAAAAAATAATAAATAAAAAAATTAATAAAAATTTAATAAGTAAATACAGAATGTAATAGCTGAGAGAAACTTTAAAATCCAAACTACAAAATATGGTAGTACTGGTTCTTTATTTTTGTAGTTTTCATGTGTACAAAACTGAATGTAAAAAAATTGTGTTCCAACCTTGACCTTTGACCTTGGATTGGTCTACAGCCGCCGGCCTGTGCGCCAACAGCGGCCACAAGGAGAACGGCATGAGCCTGGTGCCCCACCCCTCCGACTGCGACAAGTACGTGCAGTGCTACTACAACAACCTGACCAACCTTGACCTTGGCGTCGTCAGACAGTGCCCCATGGGTCTCTTCTGGAGCCAGCAGAACAAAACGTGCAGCCCGCCCAACCTCGTCCAGTGCCCGTACGGTGAGTATTCGCTGAGTTGATCTCTGGATTTAGCTCGCTTTTAGGAATGATGTTAAAGTAAGAATTTTTTTCTGTTTTACGAATGGCGTCAAAATTAGAATTTTTTTTTTTTAAGAATTGTATTAAAATTAGAATTTATCAGTTTCAAGAATGGCGTTTAAGTTAGAAGTAATTTGTTTTAGGAATCGAGTAAAAACAAGAATTTATGTTTTAGGAATTACGTTAATATTACAATAATCCTGAGGAATGGCGTCAAAGTTAGAATCTATCTGTTTTAGGAATAAAGTTAAAGTTAAAATATATCTACAAATATTTAAGCTAAACTATTTTTTGCTTTCAAATTATTGTATACGAATACTGTGGCTAAGCTAATCTAATTTTACTAACACCAAAAGAACCCCATAAATGACCGCGAGAGATTTGTATTTCCTTCCCACCTGCTGCCCACAGATCACTGTAAGGAGGACTGCGAGCCTTACAAGATGGAGGGAGCCTGCGGAGCCTACTGGGAGTGTGAGAACGGCGTGTCCTCACCCAAATGTTGCCAGGAGTACTTCTCTTTCGTGCCAGGCATCGGTTGCCAGTTGGACTTCACGTGCAGGGACAAGTGTGGGCCAGAGAAATGGTGTGGTGAGTTCACACACACGCACACACACACACATACACACACATACACACAAACCGAGTTCACACACACACACACCACATACATACACTCACATACACACATGAAGTCAGATTTACTATTCCAGCAACCCTCGCCACGTACACTTCCCTGTAACCCCCCCCTCCACACACACATACATACACACACACAGACACACACACGCATACAACCGAGGTGGAATTATTGTGCAACAATTACCTACCCTCCCACCCCCATGTAAATTAATTCCTCAGTAACTGATAAGGGAAGTAGTTGGGTACGAGGTGCTTTTATTTCTCTCTTCTCAAGGCACGCACCGTGATTATTAATAATTACTGTAACACACCTAATCACGAAAAGATAAACAAACTTTGAGCTTCAATAAAATACATCAGCACCTGCAAGTTTTACCTGTAACTTAAGATTTGTGAAACCTACCACATGCATGCATTAACATAAGATTGTTTCAATGACATATATTTTAAAAATATTGTTCAGGTATTTGCCAGAAGAAACCCAACTGGGTAGTCGCCTCCGGATATGACGTACAGCTGATGAATGGCGTCCTAGGGTGGATGCCCCGCCCCTGCTTCTATGAGGACTTTGACGTAGTCGACTGCGAGTGTTCTGCCCCTAGAAACCAAGGTAAGCTCGTCTGGTTGTTGCTAGTGTTTAGTTGCAACAGTTGCAGTGGAGCATGTTTATAGGCTCAGTCATTTGGGCTCAGTCATGTGGACTTAGTCATAAGGGTCCAGTCATATGGGTTCAGTCATAAGGGTCCAGTCATATGGGTTCAGTTTCTATGTGTTACTCATATAAACTAAATCATAAGCTCAGTCATATAGGCTAAGTCATTTATGGCTTCAGTCATATAGGTTCAATCACATCCATAGGTTTCTCATATGAGCTAAATCATATAGGCTTAGTCATATGGGCTCAGTATGTGAGTTCAATCAGGTGGGTTCAGTCATATAGACTCATTAATAAAGGTTCAGTCATATGGGTTACTCATATGGGCTCAGTCATATAAGCACAGTCATATGAGCTCAGCCATAGAGGCTCAAATGCACGCATAGTAATACGCATATACCGCCGTTAACAATCACACCATTATCCACACACACACACACACACTCCACCACTGCACTCTCTTATTAACGCTCCCTTAACCCCCCTCCCCAGTGTGCCCACCTGACCGTGAGTACAACTTTATGGACGCCGCCACTGTCAAGTCCGTGCAGGACGGCAGGAGTGAGGGTATCCGTGTGTCCACTGTGTCCAGCAACAACCTCGCCCTGGTCCTCAACAGCCGCAGCGCCGTCCACGTCGACGTCAACAAGATGGCCACTGGTGACGAGCCCTTCGTCATCAAATTTGTGTAAGCTGGGGGAAATATTTTTGATGTTATATTTTAGTCCTAGGTTGTTGTTATTTATTTACAAATCGTGTAATCATTTACCAATTTAATCTAACACAAAAATAACAAAGATATCTATTTTTAATTGATTCTCCTTAAGACAAAAGGAATTACATTGAAAATCCATGTATAAAGTTAAATTAAATTATTTTTTAATTACAACAAAGTTTTAAATTTTAGACTAGATATTGGCCTACGTTACAAAGCATACTCAGTAAAAAAAAAAAAAAAAAATTATAAATTTTTTTATAAAACTTAAAATTTTATAATTGATCATTCTACGAAAACTTCTAGTGTATAGGCCTACACCGCTAACATTTAAAAAAAACGATCTGTAGCCAACTGTATTAAATACCCAGAAAAAAAAACTTTTTAAAATAAAGATTAATTACGTATTAATGTTTATTGCTCAATACCAAACAAATTAAACTTTTATATTTAGGCTAATAATGTTTATTATGAGCTATATATATATGTATATATATATGTATATATATATATATATATATATATATATATATATATATATATATATATATATATATATATATATATATATATATAGTGAATTTATCGAAAATAATGTTCAATGAGTTTCCATGGTTACAGGTACAAAGAGAACACCCCCTTCAGCCCTTACGGCCAGACCCTCTACTCCTCTGGCGTCCAGTGCGGTAACGGCAACGCCCTTATCGTGTCCTCCAATGACCAGTTTGTGTTCGCTGAGATCCGGGCTAGTGATGGCCGCGTTGCTGAGGTGAAAGTCCCAACAAAGGTACGAGTTGACGCTCAGTGTTCAAAGGGAGATAACAATGAATATTAAAATTTTTAAAATAAAGTGCCGTGATTACCTCCCCTTATTTAAAAATATGGATAAAAAATATTGAATAAATAAATGTAACATAATTCCACTTTTTAAATAATCTAGTTAACAAATTAAATTTAAAAATATAAGACAACTAGCTTTCACATTCTAAAGTAAAAAAAAAAAAGATAAATGGTTTTCCTACTGGTTTGTTTGTTTGTTGTTGTTGCTTTTATTTTTAGAATGGACTGTTAGTAAACTGTAGTTAACAGGTTTTGTTTTTGTTTATCAGGGATTCAGCATGAATGACTACAAGAACGTGACCCTGTCATACAACGAAGGAGTTCTCTCCCTGTCCATCAGCACACCAAAACAAGAATACATCGCTCAAACTAAAGGTCAGCCTCGAATGTTTTAAGTTATTACTAGCATAAAAATCTTCAACATAACTATGCGACATGAATATATTAAGATATATAAAGATAATAACAGCTTAAAAATTTAGCCGTGTGGAACCTAGTTTTTCTTTCCCGTGAAACCACAAACAGACGTTCAAATACCATATGCCAGGCCTTCGATTGCAAAAACGTTATTTATTTGGAGAACACCAATACAGCTGTAGGATGAAACAACAGCTACCAAAACAATCTGCAACAACTTTTACTAACGCTATACAACACTAATTAAACATGTCATGTTCCAATAATGTTATACAACACAAATTAAAGTTGACATATTTCACTTCTGCTATACAACACTGAGTAAACTTGTTAAACTCCACCAGTGTTACACAACTCTAAGTAAACTTGTCATTTCCTCCCCCCTCCCCAGCCCCCGCCCACATGTGTTTCTCCTGTGGTATCGACATTGGCGCCGGCCTGAACAAGAACAGTTTTGACGGGGAGGTCCAAAAGGTGAGTCACGTGATGAGGTCAGAGGTCCAAAAGGTGAGTCACGTGATGAGGTCAGGCTGGAACTTTGGCCCGTGCCAGAACACATCTCTGCTGAAAAGTTATTTTCTCTTAATGATTGCCATAACTTACTGATTGTCATAACTTACTGACTGTCATAACTTACCGACTGTCATAACTTACTGACTGTGATAACTTACTGACTGTGATAACTTACTGACTGTCATAACTTACTGACTGTGATAACTTACTGACTGTGATAACTTACTGACTGTCATAACTTACTGACTGTGATAACTTACTGACTGTGATAACTTACTGACTGTCATAACTTACTGACTGTCATAACTTACTGTTTGTCATAACTTACTGACTGAGTAGTCCTTTTGTTAAGAAAAGGCCTCGGTAGAATCGATCTTCTATGGAAAGTATGAGCCAGTACAATAGTATCTTTCTTCTAAAATACGACCCAGTAGAGTAGTATTTTTGTCCAAACTATGAGCCAGTAGAATAGTTCTTTCGTCCAAAGTACGACACAGTAGAACAGTTCTTTCGTCCAAAGTACGACACAGTAGAACAGTTCTTTCGTCCAAAATACGACCCAGTAGAATAGTTCTTTCGTCCAAAATACGACCCAGTAGAATAGTTCTTTCGTCTAAATAACATCTCAACGTCATGAGTCATTTCATCCCTCCAGCTAACAATTTTAAAAAGTTGAGTCATGAGTCAGAAAGAGAAAATTTACTTTTTGATTACGCAATATAAAACAATTTTTTTAAAGTTTCTTTCCTGATGTGTTATGTAAATGAACAGTTAACGTGTAATGTATTCACGTGTGAAGAGTAATTTATTCAAGCACAACCCCAAAAACTTTTGAGACACTGAAACATGGGTGACTTATCTAAAATTAAACCTTGCAGTAACGTACATATAAATATTATACCTTAATCTAACGTACATAAAAAGTTTATGCCTTAATCTAGCGTACAAATAAATATTATACCTTAATCCCTGGCACCTAAATAAAAGAAAAATGTGTACGGCATGTGGTCGGTATATCTTACGTCAAGTGTAGTTTTTAGCACATTTAGAAAAAAAATGATGACATACGGCGTAGTTTCAGTTTTTAGATTCAAGTCTAGCCTTTAAATTTTCTTGGCGTGAGTACCATGTCGTGCCCTTTGACCTATTCCATTGTGCTGTACAGCCCGTTATCTCAGCATCTCTCTACCTCTCTACCTCACATGGTGGAGGGCCAACGTTCGCGGCGTGCAGGCTCTGATTAGGATCAGGTTTATACAAGGCTTCAACAAGGTTTTAACTAGGTTTCAACAAGGTTTTAACAAGGTTTTACAAGATTTTAACTAGGTTCTAACTAGTCCGCTGGGCATTAATCAAGGCTGGTTTCATTGGTCAATGAGCTGGTAGTCGACTTACTAACATGTGTGTATGTGTGTGTGTGTGTGTGTGTGCGTGTGTATATGCATGCGTGCGTGTGTGTGTGTGTGTGTGTGTATGAATATTATAAATATATATATATATATATATATATATATATATATATATATATATATATATATATATATATATATATATATGTATGTATTTATATATATGCGAATAACACTTACTTGTAGCCTAAATGGACTCTGACAAACGCAAAATATAACTGGATATCTTTTGTTTTCTTTCAGATATCTGTACATTCCTGCAGTCTGTCGAAGCTGTATTAAACTGTTTTCTGTCTTTTAATGACAGTCGTTTATTGTTACTCTAAAAATAATTTATTTTTTTAATTAAAATGAAAAAAAATATCAGTTTAATATCAAGGCAAAATATTTCATGATTATATAATGTTGAGGTGGGGTGGGGGGTGGGGGGCTATGTGATTTGGTTTAAGCCATTTGTGTTGTGGAAAAAGTTACTGTCTTGTATTGTTTGTTAAATGCCTGGTGTCACCTGGGATGCCTAATTAATTTCCTAAAAAAAATTGTTTAAAGGCGTTCAATAAATAAAAGTTTACTTTGCCTAGCTTGTGTCCATTGTTTGGTTATTCTGCTATATTTTGTTTTGTTTTAAATTGGTTTTGCTGTGTTAATTAATAATTATGGAGAGATGGGAATATATGGGTTGGGTTAGCAAAGTTTTTTTGTTCCTACTGAAATAATAATTTACAGTAGGGCCTATAATATGAGGGATATGTATTGACTGTCAAAATAAGTGAAAAGAGTACTTTTACATATATTTGTATTTGCACAAACACACACACACACAAACACACACAATTTAAACAGAATTAACTCCATTAAGGATACTTTTGTCAAATTATTGGCACCAAATCTTAAATTAAAAATGTCAACTTCATCGTGTAGTTTGATGAATCAAATATTAACGATACAATAATATTTTTTTTAACTTTACAAGTAAATGATTTATCAGTTATAAAGTTTTGATAGACATCGTTTACGATGGCCTATGTTTTTAAATAATGTATCCACTTTTTTTTCTTTTAGTTTTTTTTTTATTTAATACCTTTATCTACAATTAAATCAAGTAACATCAAGTTGTGTGTGAGTGCATTTGTCTGTAGTAATATATAAAGGATTTACAGCAAACCAATTTACATAAAATGTACACATAAGTGCATAAGACATCTAACATTTACAGAATACAATGCAAAAATGGAATTTTAAAAATGAATTTAAGCTAGGGGTAGGGAGAAGTTGAAAATTGTGTGAGGGGTAGGGTCATAGGGAAGAAGTCGATTAAAGGGAGGGGAGAGGCTGGGGTTAAAGCATGTAGGTTCAACAATTTAGACAATGGCTTATTTTAATCATGTGCACATTACTAAGAGTAAAAGTTTATAACACGGTGTAAACGAAGGCTTGTAAAACATTTGCTACATTGTTTTTTTAAGTCTTTTTTTTTTAAATAATTTATCCGCTACCTAAGAACAACAACCAATAATTCAGATTAAAAAGCCAGACTATTTGTTTAAACAAAAACTGAAAAATAATATTGTTTTCTCATAAAAGGTAAAAAGAGTGAATAATGTGAATTCTTATTTACATTTTTCTACTGCTACTAGTTATTCAGCTTTATATTTATGGAATTAGAATTACATCAAATATAATTCTTTAAAAATTGATAAATTAATTCATAGGTTTTTAAAAACGTGCGTTACAAGACGACTATTTGCTTCCCTTGTCTGTTTAAATATCCCTAACTCTCATGCGTTAAAAAATATCTTTGTAGAATAGTTTTTTAAATATCTTTACTTCACACTTGAAATATAGATCTAATTAAGTTTTAAAGATAGATAAAATTTTATTTTCATTCGACTTGTTTTTAATTTTACTAATGATAGAGAGGTCAATCAACGTAATATTTCGATTAACTCCCTTAAACAAATGTCAGTTTCTTAAAATAGAATCTATTTTTATTTTTACGTAAAGTATGTCTAATTTTAGTACTAACCCAATATATCTGTGACCTTATTGTTATCTTTACGGCCATTCAGAGGTTTTAAATTCTTCAATCGTTTTATGAAGCAAAGACAATTTTACAGCAGCATATTGGACCTTGTAAGGCAACATTGGTCGGTGTAAGACAACATTGCCTTGTGTAATGAGACCATCTCGAGTGTTCCGTGTAATGAGACCATCTCTAGTGTTCCGTGTAATGAGACCATCTTGAATGTTCCGTGTAATGAGACCATCTTGAATGTTCCGTGTAATGAGACCATCTTGAATGTTCCGTGTAATGAGACCATCTTGAATGTTCCGTGTAATGAGACCATCTTGAATGTTCCGTGTAATGAGACCATCTTGAATGTTCCGTGTAATGAGACCATCTCGAGTGGTCCGTGTAATGAGACCATCTCGAGTGGTCCGTGTAATGAGACCATCTTGAATGTTCCGTGTAATGAGACCATCTCGAGTGTTCCGTGTAATGAGACCATCTCGAGTGTTGCGTGTAATGAGACCATCTAGAATGTTCCGTGTCGAGTTGGGCGCCACATTTTGTTACTGTGACACGCACAAGAAAATTGTTGTACATTCGTTTATGCGTGAGACAGCAACTAACGTAGCTGGACCCGTGTCTTCTCCTGGTGAGGCTGGGGACATGGGACAAATGTAGCCAGGGACAAAACACACATGTAACCGGGGACAAGGGACAAATGTACCCAGGGACAAAACACACCTGTAACCGGGGACAAAACACACCTGTAACCGGGGACAAAACACACATGTAACCGGGGACAAAACACACATGTAACCGGGGACAAAACACACATGTAACCGGGGACAAAACACACATGTAACCGGGGACAAAACACACATGTAACCGGGGACAAAACACACATGTAACCGGGGACAAGGGACAAATGTAACCAGGGACAAAACACACATGTAACCGGGGACAAAACACACATGTAACCGGGGACAAAACACACCTGTAACCTGGGACAAAACACACATGTAACCGGGGACAAAACACACATGTAACCGGGGACAAAACACACATGTAACCGGGGACAAGGGACAAATGTAGCCAGGGACAAAACACACATGTAACCGGGGACAAAACACACATGTAACCAGGGACAAAACACACATGTAACCGGGGACAAAACACACATGTAACCGGGGACAAAACACACATGTAACCAGGGACAAAACACACATGTAACCGGGGACAAAACACACCTGTAACCGGGGACAAGGGACAAATGTAGCCAGGGACAAAATACACATGTAACAGGGGACAAAGCACACATGTAACCGGGGACAAAACACACATGTAACCGGGGACAAAACACACATGTAACCAGGGACAAAACACACATGTAACCGGGGACAAAACACACATGTAACCGGGGACAAGGGACAAATGTAGCCAGGGACAAAATACACATGTAACCGGGGACAAAACACACATGTAAACAAACATGTAACCAATAACACCACACCTTTAGACACACCTGTAACCAGGGACAACGCATACCTGTCACCGGGACATGGCACACATGAACAGGCAGTGACATAAGTCGCCTGTCGTCAAGGACAGGTAATTTTTGCAACACACATGTTAGCAACACACCAACATCACACACCTGTTAGATACACACCAACATCACACACCTGTTAGATACACACCAACATCACACACCTGTTAGATACACACCAACATCACACACCTGTTAGATACACACCAACATCACACACCTGTTAGCAACACACCAACATCACACACCTGTTAGATACACACCAACATCACACACCTGTTAGCAACACACCAACATCACACACCTGTTAGATACACACCAACATCACACACCTGTTAGATACACACCAACATCACACACCTGTTAGATACACACCAACATCACACACCTGTTAGATACACACCAACATCACACACCTGTTAGATACACACCAACATCACACACCTGTTAGATACACACCAACATCACACACCTGTTAGATACACACCAACATCACACACCTGTTAGATACACACCAACATCACACACCTGTTAGATACACACCAACATCACACACCTGTTAGATACACACCAACATCACACACCTGTTAGATACACACCAACATCACACACCTGTTAGATACACACCAACATCACACACCTGTTAGATACACACCAACATCACACACCTGTTAGATACACACCAACATCACACACCTGTTAGATACACACCAACATCACACACCTGTTAGATACACACCAACATCACACACCTGTTAGATACACACCAACATCACACACCTGTTAGATACACACCAACATCACACACCTGTTAGATACACACCGACATCACACACCTGTTAGATACACGCCAACATCACACACCTGTTAGATACACACCAACATCACACACCTGTTAGATACACGCCAACATCTACATCAAGGGATTTAAAAAAACAAGGAATTACAAAACATTAGCATCCTAGTAGGCCTGCGCAAAATGTATAGTTCAAATTCTGCAATGACCAGATTTTTTAAACAACTATGCTGGAGAGCTCTATCGCCCCTTATTTACTATAAACACACACAAACCTCAACATGCGCTATATCCAATTTGTGTAGGTGTACGGGGTAGGCGGGTTGTCAAAGCTCGTTGATATACACACGACAACCCAATTCACGAGCACAATGAATTTCGTCTAAAACACTAAAACCCGTCGACAGTTCCAAAACACAACCCGCCGAGCGTTTTAATTCCGCGTGAGTAAACACTTCCAATGCACGTGCATCCAGCATGCTCACAGTGTCCCCCAAATTCTGGTAAACATTTTCGTCAGGCAGCACCAATCTGGCACCTGACGTCTGCACTGAGTCATCTACATCGTCCCCCCCCCCCTCCTTCTCTGTTTCTATCTACATCGTCCTCCCCCTCCTTCTCTGTTTCTGGTTGGCTTTCAATACAACGGCCCGTTTAACAACACTGCACATCTCTTTAACTCAACCTTAAGCCCGACTGTTAAAATGTCCCCTCTTTACTTAATCCCTTAACCCTATCTTTTGTCTGACTCAGATAATCTCAAGTACCACTAATCTGATGTCTGCTACTTCTACTCATAATTACAACTATCTCTTCATATTCTTATAACCTTCAATCATTTGACAATTTCCTCCGAACCCTTGCTCTTTCATCTCTCTCCACTAATCTTAATCTCAACTTTCTGATCGGCAGCTCTCTGCCTCATATTCCCTCAATCCCAACTCACCTGCACCCTCTTCTATCAATCATCTGCCTCTTTTTCTCTTAATCCTATATAATCTGCCTACTACCCTCCATCACTTTTTTGTTTGCAATCACTTCTTTTAATCCTAACTCGCTCTATTGCTTATCTCAATCTTATCTTTTTCCTTCCGTCTGTCTGTCCTCTTTTTTTTCTTCATTCTGTCCTCTACTTTCCTTCTGTCCCCTCAAACATCTACCTTTAGCTCTCCGAAACTTACCCCGTCGGTCTACTCACTCTATATCTCCCCCACCTTACCCCGTGTC